ACAATTATAACCAATCTGTTTCCTTTTGTTTGGCATAGATAACTTGGAAACAAATAGTTATCCTTTTATTTTTTGTTGTCTTGGCTAATTTTTACTACACATTATGCAATGTAGAGCAACACTAATTACCAAATATATATATATATATATATATATATATATATATATATATATTTAAAAAAACCAATTACCATAATATATCATATGCTAGATCTATTAAAAAAAATGCTAGATATAGGCAAAGTCATATAAATTATTGATCACAATTGCATTGAAATTATAGTATTCTAAAAAAAAAAAAGCATTTAAAAACCATTGAAACATTGACTCTAATAACAACTTTTGACAAAACTTTCTACTTCTTCTTAAAGAGATCAATTGCATATTGTTTCTTTATATTAGTTGGCGCTTGATAGAAGATGCGGAGGTTATGTTCTTTCGCCATAATGAATCGGAGTTTCATACACAACCTTCTGATTCCCTCCAAAACTTGAAGCAGAGGGAGGCCAACACAGCGCTTTCTTTGTAAGTGGGATAAAAGTACGGCCCCGTAAAGGCATCGGTACTACTGCCGCGCTCAAGGCTTGCGTGACTAACGCACAACGGCTTTCACGCTAGCGCGCTTACCCGTTTGAAGCTGCCGGAAATAAGAGAAGAGAAAGGAACGAAGTGACTCGACTGAAAGGAAAGGTACGAAAGCAAAGAAGAAAGATTATGGTCCGGCCGCGGTACGACACCTGAACTCGAAGCTACGATCAGATCCGAAAGAAACGCTTCGCCCGCTCCCTCCCCGTGTCCCAGTGAGTCAAAGTAAAGAAAGCTCGTTTTCGGGCTTATAAGTCAGTAAGAAAGAGCCATTGATAGGGCATTAAAGGATTCTTCTTTTAGGTTTTTCCTTTTCATGTATAGCGTTTATTCTAAAAAAACCCCTGTAGTGTAACCTATCATTGCTCTCTCTCCGATAGCATGCAGCTTATAAGGAAGACAGCGGGTAGTTCCTACAAAGGATCGGACTAATGACGTATACTTGAATTCTCGACGTAGATGCTACATAGTGGGTTCTCATCCTTCCGAGACTACGAGTGCAGAGTCTTCCGAGAAGGGCTCAACCCGCTATAAGGACTCCGAGAAAGCAATTGCCAGTGCGGCACGAAGCCGCTGACGCCGAGTCGGCTCCTATGCCGCTAGCTATGCCCTGCTTGGTCCCCCGACACGCTTGAGGTTCCGTAGCGCGTTATGAGGGGGCCGGACCCGGCAATGTGCCGGACCTCAACCGGCTTCCTCCGCAGGAGGCCTGTTTGCAGCATTCATAGCCATACGTGCTAGTACTCTTTCTTTGCCTCTGGTTAAGCCCCTTCTTACGTAGGACATCGCAAGCTCCTCGCCTTCCGCCAGAAAGGACCTCAACATCCTGCTGCTCATGGTGTTTCACGATTAGTATTGGAAATGAACGGCCACCAAACAAAGGGGAGGTCTTTGCTTTCCCGTTAGAGATGCTAGTCTTTTTGTTGCTGGATTCAGCTATCGCGCTTGCTTGAAGAGCCGATAAGAGTCTAGGATTCCTCTTTCTTGACATTCTAGGATTCCATTTCCGAGTACCGTGACCAAAATGAACTCCCGCTGATGCTTTCAGCCTTACTCAAATAGGGGATATCGTGGAGCCTGTCGTAAACCATAAATCGAACGATGTCGCGAAATTCCCACGGCGAAACCTCGAGATACTTTTCACTTGTCTTCTGCGAGTCTGAGACCTTACTTTCGGTTGGGATTCTGTGAGTAAGGAAGCAGAGGCAGAATCGATCCCGAGAGGGCTTAGTTGATCCATGATTTATCTTTCATTTGTTTCGAGAAAAGAAAGAATATATGAAGCAGTACATTCGACTCCTTGGAGGTGTCATGCAAAAAGCCCAAAGCCTCCGATCCTCTTCCTTACGGCCTATCGTTGGTTAAAGCATTTCCTTCACGCGGTCTTCTTTAGCGGTGAAGAAGAAAAAAATGAGTTCTTCCTTCTTGGCAGCTTAAAGCCCGCTATTTTAAGACACGATGCCACTGGACCACACCGAGGGACAGGCCCTGAAGCGAAGGACGGGAACGAGCGGAATCAATGTGTTCCAATTTCTGGCCTTGCACCGACCATCCAATGGACCATGGACTAAACGGCCACTGCCTAAAAGGACTATGTCCAGGGGACCGCCGCCCCCCCTGCAATTCTCTCACTTCGGGAAGAGCGGACGGAAAGAGAAGGCCTTTGCGCGGTGGGAACGGGCTTCCCAAAAAGCCAGCCCCGGCCGGGGTCAGCCTGAAAAGCATGTGCCCATCACTCCAGCAATGGCAACGCTCCGCTCTGTTGCAACCCCAATACCCCTAGTGGATCGACCTATACTCGACTTGATCCTTCTTCACGGAAGGTATGTAGGCAACTCTCCTCACCCGCAAGTCAAGCTGGGAACGGGCTGAGACTTACGATTCCGAAGACCAAGTGGGGAAAACCATAATGAGCACCCACGAAGATATCCGAGCCGAGCTCTCTCACAGTCCTTCCCTTCCTCTCCCTGTCGATAACTTCGTACCGCTATCTCGCCTGAGTCTTCCTTTCCTGTCAGTAGCCGGGTAGCGAAACGACCGGTCGGGTAGAAGCTCTCACTTTCTGCCCATTGGCCTTAGAGAAGGTGTAGACTACAGTGAGTGAGTAGCCGTGATCCCGTTTTTTTCATCGGGTCCAGGTAGAGACCAAAGATCTTGAGCGACCGATCCGGCAGAACAACTCAGCGTGTGGAATGGCCGAGAGCGGACCTTTTTGGATATATAATCCAAGTCGAGAGTGGAGTTACGGGAACAGCCGTCTGATGGAAAACGTGATAGGTCACAAGTCGTCTGTCTTTAAAGAAAAAAAAGTCCCAGGGCAAAGACAAGATAGCTTCGAATGAGACTTCATACCCGAAACGCAAGAATGATCTGAACCCTTACCCTAGAGCAATAGACGGAATTCTTGGGGTAGCTGCTAGGATAGATGCATAGAATCCGGATGTCAGCAAATAATGCATTGCTCAACTCATCAGATTCTTCATTAGCCCGACTATGAAAGAGGCACAAAGCTTGACCTTAGAGGTCGGGAAAGGATTTGCTTCTATCTTTCTCATGCTGCTCGACCGTCAGCCCAAGACTAAGGCCGAGCAACTAGCTGCTGCAAGATTGGACGTCTATCTCGACTAATTCATGCTTAAATGGCCAAAGGCGAGATATAAATTGGAGTCATACCTAAACTAAAAGATGGCTCGGCTCGAGGGAAAATCCATATGAAAGGGAAGGAGATATTCGGGTGGGTCGAATCCAATAAGTAAAGGTCATGATCGAGTTAAGCTTGCGCTTACGTTTTACAGCCGAATCACGCCAACGTTATGGACGTTCCTGGATTGTGTGAAATAAGAGTAGTACCAAAGGCAGCACCTAGAGAAAGCTCTATCGCAATACGTCCTACTAAGGATAAGCAACTACATCATGAAAGAAGGTATGGGATTCGTGTGTGGTAGTCTACAGGCCTGGGAGCAACTTCATTAAAAAGAAAAAAATAAAGACAGGTAGTTTACTTGCTTAGTGCTTGCATTAAGGTGTGAAACTTACAAAATGATCTTCGATTTTGCTAGTCCTTGGGAACAACGTAACGGTAACGAAGGATAATTCGGAATCAGAATAAGTCCAGTCCAGGGGAGTGCTGCGAAGCGCAAGAGCGTATCGAGAGAGGATATTTTTCGTGTAATGGTCTATACTATAACCATCTTCTTTCTTTACTGCAAACTAGTGACTGAGTCCAAAGCAGAGAGGCCTTCTTTTCTTCCGAAAAAAGAGAAGGAGAAGGATCTTCTTCGGTGAATCCCCGTCTTTATTTCCACTCTTTATTGGCTCGTTTCGTAAGAATAAAGTAGTCAAAGTAATTGCGTCTATCATTGAAGGCAGCCAAGAGTCACTCAGGGCTTTATTCAGCTCTTTATAGTCTAGGGCAAGATAGAAACAATAGCAACAAGAAGCTCTTAGAATTCTAGCAACCTCTAAAGTTTTGGATGGAGAAATTTCATCTAACGTCATCACCTCATCCAAAACCTTATTCACTTTTTCATCCATTCTTTGCTCCCTTTCTTCCGTTTTAGACCATGCACTAGCCAGTCCCGAGATTATAAAAGTAGTGTCGTGTAATTATTGAAATGGGAAGATGAGAATAATGTTGCTATAAAAATATAGTGAATTTGGAAAACTTGATGGTTGCAACATCTGGGAATATACAAGTAATCAAATAAGGGCAATAAAACAAGAAGATGATAAACTCAACTTAGCTAAACATTTCATCAAACAGCTTGTGTGCATAATTAAAAGTATCACTAGATAAAGTACTCATCATAATCGCAGCAATTATGACACATAGTTTTCTGAGCTAAACAATTCATCCAACACTTTGTGTGCAACACAATATAGATTGACAAGATAACTTACACTCCTTTAACATCATCAATCTTAGATTAATGTATAATTAAATTGTTAGTGACGAATAAATGTCAACAAACAATCATACTAATAAACTTACAAATTCAAAAATACTTACAAATTTGAGGTAGAAGATTGTAAAAAAATGGAGCAAAATATGAAGAATAGCAGTTTTCTTAGGAGAATTCTCAACTGAATTGTCAAAAAAATTTGGAAATTCTCATGAAAAATGAAGATCGAGAGGAGAGAGAAAAGAAAATAATTTGTCTTTTGTGATAGAGGCAAGTAACGTTAATCGTTTCCCCAAGATTTACCCTGGAAACAAAAGGGTGGAAACGGTTACCACAAGGTAACGGATTTTGTTTCTTTACTTGTCAACTAAACACATGGTAAGAGAAACGGTAACTTGATTCCGTTTCCACCCATATCAAAAACTCATACCAAACAGCCCCATAGAGTTATGCCTTACTCATCCAATCATCAAGACATATAAAAAGGGGAAAGACAACTGTATAAACTATACTCTTAATTGGGATTTGAACGTGTCGGTGCTTGCTTAATCTTCACATTTGGCACCAACCCTCTCTTAGATCTATGCTTTCCATATTTTCGATTACATTTAATTCAACCCATATATAAATATATTTTTCTTTAATCAAAACACAGCAAAAACACGACATTTCAATAAAACATTGCAACACCCACGATAATATATTAGCATGAAACACCTTATCAAAGAAATATTCAAATAGTATTTGTTTTTGCATCAAAAAAAGTAAAAATAAAATCAACCATTAAATTCTTAAACCTTTTGAACTTGATTTTGAATTTGATAAAAAAATATTGGGTTAAAAATGGGGGAAGGAAAAGGGTCGAAAGGTGGGTGTTGTGGTTGGTTTTTGGTGTTGATAGTTGCGGCAGCCATTGTTGCAGGTTTAGTGGTTGCTTTCAGATCAAAATTCCATCATTCTGATAAACCCGAACCCGTACCCGGCCCACCTGGCGCCATTGTTACTAAATACTCTGATGCCCTCAAGTTAGCTATGCAGTTTTTTGATATTCAAAAATGTAAGTTTGTTTATAAATTTATTTGATCATATTATTAGTTTGGTGTTATTTATTCAATTGTTTTTTTGACAATGTGATATTATATATATATATGTTGATCTTGTAATTTATTATGGGGTTTTAGTTATTTCATTGATGAGTGATTTTATAATGTGAATTGGAGTTACCCATTTGAATACTTTGTCAATGGAAGTGTTGTTTGTAGAAATTTCATTGTTTTTAAGCAAAGGTTATGTGGTCAAATCAAAGGTTATATAATTTCGATTTGTTGATTTTGGATGATGTTGGTTTAAATAAATGTCAAGTTGATGATAATGTAATTGTGATTTATGTTACATTTAATTAATATTGTCCAAGTGATAGAAGGCTAGTTTTTGGATCTAATTTGAGGAGATTATGGTTACTCATTCTTTCATCTTGCAGCTGGTAAGTTGGAAGATAATAAGATATCATGGAGAGGCGATTCGGCTTTGAAGGATGGGAGTGAGGCAAAATTAGACCTCTCAAAAGGGCTGTATGATGCTGGTGATCACATGAAGTTTGGGTTTCCAATGGCTTTCACTGCCACCGTCTTGTCGTGGGCTATCCTCGAGTATGGGGATCAAATGGCTGCTACAAAACAGCTTCAACCTGCTCAAGAGAACCTAAAGTGGATCACTGACTATCTTGTCAATGCTCATCCTAAAGATAATGTTCTCTATATTCAGGTATATTGAGTTCTTGTCTCATCTATGATTTTGCTAAATTGTTCGAAAAATGTAGTTCTTGCTTTAGATTGTATCGGAGATGGGAAGTATTGCTATGAATTGTTGGCTCGAAATGGTATAAGTTAGTAATTGCTATTTTAATATCCATTTATGCTCTTACAGGTCTTTATCTTATGAATTGTGACTAAGATTGAGTGATTACTTTGTAACTTTTTGTTTATAATTTACTTTAATCTCTCTACTTGAGATTGTCAACCCCATTCCTAGAAATTTATGGGCCCTAGACATAATGTAAGAAAGGGCCTCTTACGTAACAAATTTTTTTGCATGCAATTGCTTTAAATATAAGACAATGAAAATAGCTTATATTATTTGAATACTAAGTCTGCATACACAATACTGGAGTGATAACTTTGCATTTTGGTAATTGAATAAATATGAAACGGTGTAATAGAAAAGATTAAAATTTTGGAGCAAATACTCATAGAAACCGGAAGATTAGAAGAAGTGAAGAGGTTATATTGCTTTGTTATCTCCACTTGATTGACATCTAAGTAATTGAATGTTAATTGCTAACTATTAACTAAATGCAGTAATTATCTTTTTAAAAAGTAGCTTTTTTTAACGAGTAAAAACTACAGAGTAAAATTCTACAGCTATACAAACTGATTTTTTTTTAAAATAATTTTTGGGCCCCTTTCTAACGTGGGCCCTAGGCGGTCGCACTCGAGGCCTACCCTTCCGGGCCGGCCCTGGAGATTGTTTACATGTGGAAGTCTTGGGGTGCGATGAGTGGCTTCTATATTAAATCTTCAGAAATTTTTTATTAGAATGATAAATATGAAAGCAATTGGTAACGTTTCCATTGATGATTAATTCATGTAGGTTGGTGATCCTGATCTAGATCATAAATGCTGGGAGAGGCCTGAAGATATGACAGAGAAAAGGCCTCTTACACAAGTGAATGTCTCCACTCCAGGAACAGAAGTTGCAGCAGAAACAGCAGCAGCTATGGCAGCAGCATCCCTTGTGTTTAAGTCGAGCGACGCCACCTATTCAAGCACTCTTTTGAAGCACGCTAAGCAGCTTTTTGACTTTGCTGACACTCACAGAGGTTCTTACAGTGAAAACCTTCCAGAAGTTGCAACTTATTATAATTCCACTGGTTATGGGGATGAGCTCTTGTGGGCTGCAAGCTGGCTCTATCATGCAACCAAAGATAACACTTATTTGGAATACGTGAATGACAATGGAAAAGAATTTGCTGATTATGGAAGTCCAACCTGGTTTAGTTGGGATAATAAACTTGCAGGAACTCAGGTGAGTCTATTATTAATATTATATCAGGAAATGAATTTTACATGCTTCTCTTTTATGCCCCTTCTGGCTTCCTGCTTATATATACTTGTACAACTGTTTACCAAGTTGCTGCAAGGGATGTCAAATGCTTGTATAATCTGTGTTCATATGAGTTGTATGATATTCCATTCGAGTGAGTAGATATATTGCCACATTGTTTTAATCTATCATATACAACGTTTTAACAAAAAGTTTTACATTTTCCTGTGTAATAATTGTATTACTCCCACCTTTTCCATGTATTTATGCCACTTATTCATTCTGAGGACATCTCCAAATGGTTTACGCGATTATTCATTCGATTGGAGAGACTGGTTCACAATAGTTTGTCAGCGTAGTTGACTAGATTGTTGTCAAGTTTCCAAGTGATCAATTAGTTCATTGTTGTTCTCTAACATGTCCTTCACTTGTCAAGTAACACGCTTTAGTTTAATCTATATATATTTAAATCTATATATATATTTAGTTTAATCTAGCTTAAGTTTCACTGAAGAAGAAAACTAAATGGTTATTAAATCACATGATTTGTTATGGTGGACCATGTAAATGATCGAGTTTAGTACATAGATTTTCACAGGATTCCAGTATTTAAATCAAACAACTATTACAGTCTTTAATGTGAGGGGCTTTCATCCTTAAAATACTGCTGCATAACACAGTAATGAGAAAAGTGTTTTGGTCATCATTGAATTTTCAGTTGCCAAACATAATGGATTTAATAAATTCTAATCAGCCTTACCCCATAAAAGGACTGATAATGGTGTTTGAGTTTGACAGCCTTTTTGATGTTCTGCAGGTACTACTGTCTAGGGTCAATCTTTTTGCTTCAAAGGATGTCTCAAGTTCTGCAAACTCTGGCCTTCTGAAGTATAGGCTAACAGCTGAGGCTGTTATGTGTGGTCTTTTACCAAAATCTCCAACTGCAACATCTAGCAGAACAGATGGTAGGTCACTTGATGTGCTCATAAATACGCCTGCTTTCATCCCCTCCCTACTCAAAAACAAAAACAGAGTCAAACAACTCATTTTTGCTCATTGTTACGAAGCATGTCTTTGTTACTTAGATGACTTTCATGTTTACAGAAAAAATGAACCTTTTTTCATTGGAACTTGGCAGACCTGTGAATATGATTTGGTTTTCATGATGTTTGAACTGTATAAGGTGTCTACCACTTGTTACATATAATTTGACCTTGAAAATCTAAGAAAGGTGAAGACGATAGGGAATTGATGATCATAATAGTTTTGGATGGTGTTATTCCTCTTGATTTAGGTGTGTTATATGTGTCATTAAGTTCTGAATGACTCAATCCTGCTGTCTTCATTTCTATTGATTATCTTAGATGTATCCTACAACCCATAGTCCCATGTTAAATAAGTATCTTGAACATTAAAACTAGAATGGGAAGTAGCTTATATAGTCTAATGGCTAATGGTTGTGTACTTGGGTTCATCTATGAAGAAAACTTTGGTTTTCTATACTAGAGCTCATTTATGTTGTATTGTTGCTACATGCTTGCAAATGTGTGGTCAGTGTAGAAATACCAGCTAGTTCTCTAATTCAATACTTGATTTTTTCTTTTGGGATGTTAATCCAGGGGGTCTTGTATGGGTCAGTGAGTGGAATGCACTTCAGCATCCTGTCGCAGCTGCATTTTTGGCTGTTGTCTACAGTGACTACATGCTTTCTTCAAGAACAGCAAGGGTGTCTTGCAGTGGACATTCGTACAAGCCATCCGATCTTCGGAAATTTGCCCTTTCACAGGTGTGTTTTTTTGTCTGCTAATTTGATAGACGTGAGAGAAATCATGCATCTTATGGACTGTTAATCTTTTCTTGTTTTTGTAGGCTGATTATGTGCTAGGAGACAATCCTATGAAAATGAGTTTTCTTGTGGGTTATGGGGACAAATACCCACAATTTGTGCACCATAGAGGTGCCTCAATCCCAGCAAACGCAAAAACTGGGTGTGAAGATGGATTCCAGTGGCTTAACTCTACTAAACCCAATCCAAATGTTGCTGTTGGAGCACTTGTTGGAGGGCCCTTTTTAAACGAAACGTTCATTGATGATCGGAATAATTCGATGCAAACTGAACCTACCACATATAACAGTGCCCTTGTTGTCGGCCTCTTATCGGGTTTGGTCACCACTTCTTCAGTAGTTGCATCTTTTACATGAATGCTGTTATGCTAATGCCATAACTACAAACTACGTCTTTGTATTTATAGGTGTATTTTTGTTGTCCATATTAGTTATCTACGTGGGTGACATTGATGTCGCTCTTGTAATCCGGTTACAATGATACCATGTATCATCATAGTAATGTAGACTTATGTAGTAGAGTGCTGGAGTATCAGATCACAACTTCCTCATGTGTCATGTCTCTATATTTGCTGTAATTTTTATTATTTTTTTAATTCTTTTTCGTCGTCCCTGACTTGCCTGGGCTAGGGGCACTGCAAAGGTGATGACTGAAGAGTGGAACTTGTTAAGCTTATTATTGTTGTGCGATATACATGAGCAAGGGTGCAGCAAGGCTATTGTAGATTTGTTTTTTACATTAGGTTTATGGTTGTGTAACAAGATTCAAGAAATAACAAGTGCTTGATTTTTATGATCTATTTACATGAAACAAACTTGAATATACCTCAAATAAGGCATTCTCATTGCCCACAAATTAGTTTCTCTTTTGACCCAAAAATAGTTTCCAAAATTAGTTACATTTCTACTACTCCCTGCGTGTGTTAACCCTTTCCTAATGTTGCCTTATTTTTTTATTTTTTAAATTAATTTCAGTAAACTGCTACTTTAATATTATTTCTCCTTCATGGGTCTCATATGTGCCGTTAATATTTCTTTTTATCATTTTTCTCACATTTCAATATATCATTTATATCTTCATTGTTTACTACGGAGTAGTAAAAATTGTAAATAAATTAAATTATGAAAGCAGGCATTGTTAGTTTTAGTATGATATTTTACATAAAATATAATTTTTTTTATTATAAAATAATAATAGATTAAGTCGACATGATTTCTTATTGACTCAAACTTGATCCGACTCAAAATGACCCAACCTATACCTGATTTTCAAGTCTATTAACGATGAAGGATGTTGATGTCTTGATGAAATGTTATTTTTTAAACTTACAAACTCTTAAATAGACCTAGTTCACACTAATTTATTAATTTAATAAAAAGGTCACTATGTTAAAATAATAGTCATTATGTTAAAATAAAAGTGATTGTGTTTTATAAAGGTCATAAGAGATAAAATTTTTTAAATGAAAATTTTAAAATACCGGTCAATATGAATAATATAGGTTACTAGGTTAAAATTAGGATCATAATATCATACTTCAGTTTGCAACAATATTAAAAATCACACAAATTTTATTAAAGGTTACTATATTAAAATTAAGGTTACTATATTTAATATTAGGGTCACTATATTCAATACAAAACCAGTTACGCACATGTAGAACTTCGGATCTACAATAATATTATTGTGAACCAGGTTCATACAAGTTTTTCTATTTTAAACTACATCCCAACTTTTCATGGTAATACAAATGTTTAATTTGGAATGATTACATAGGCAAATACGTCACTTGCAGGTATGTATACTCTTTGGTAAAAAATTGAGCAACGCGTTCAAACATTAGAAAAGTCAATTAAATTTATAATTGAGCAACCCACCAATCATCATCTAATGAAAAAGCTATCTTAAGATTTCGAAGAATCATATACTGGTATATAAATTACATAAACATATACTTGTATATATCATTGGGATGTAACAAAGATTACCCCTAAATTTATGAATAAATAAATTTGGACGACTTGTGGTTATACAATGGTCAAAATGAGATTATGTATACTTGTAATTTGCGTGAATCTCAATCTAAATAATCTATGGCTATCAAATGATTCTGTTTAAGCTATACTAAAGACCATTTATACAATTACAGATGATCATGTATATAATTGGTTGTCGTCGAAATCAACGAGAAATTTCCGACTTCGTTGTACCGTATCCTAGTTGTTGCTCAATCTCCCACCTAAGCTTTGGCGCTTCACCATGGTGATTCGGAACGTAGTCCTGAAAAATTTACATATTACATACGTTTTTCAATATAAAAAAGTTTGTAATGGCTACTAGTAACATTATAGGGTGTGCGTGGTTGGTAGATGTTAATGTAACATATCAATCTCGCACATATAAACCTCACGATATGAACGTTCATTAGTTTATTTGTATTATTGTGTTCATATATTTTAGTACATGCATGTTTATATGAGTCCAAAACAAAGTGTCTTAGCTTAAATTCTTACCTCAAGCTTGGACATAAGTTCATGGGCAGTTGGGGCAGAAACAATAATGCTACGGGCAGCAGGGGCAATGAAACCCTCGTCAACAGCCTTGTCTATGAAGGACATTAATGAGTTGTAATACCCATCAACGTTCAGCAAGCCCACCTGTGTCCAAAAATACACAACATTTTATTATTTGATAACCATTTTTTTTTATTATGTGGGAAAATCTATACTTATATATTAAAAGGTGTTTCTAACAACGTCCACGTGTTATGTAAACTCTTCTAACAAAATGTTCACTATAAGATTTGTACTTACAACCTCTAACTCTAGAACTATTTGTCTTACCACCGGTATATGATTTTTTATGTGATCTTTTGAATAAAAAATATTAATATGTAACAAATGACAATATGAAAAACAAATTTAATTACAAGAAAATTGAGTTATAAATTACTAATCAGTTTCATGTATTAATCTGGGACATCGCCCAAGCCCAAAAACTAGTGTTAAATTAATAATTGATAGACAGATAGAGAATATAATTTATTCTTGGCCTCTTGGGTCTCAACCCTTAACTTACAAAAATATGTTACTAGTATATACTCGTTAGAAAATAAGCCAAAAAAAAAAAAAAAACCACCTTTGTACTAAATTAGAATTTTGCCTACTTTAAATACTTTTCACGTGTGTTAAAAAATTACTAACTCAGTATGTTTTATATTATTTACAATAATCTATATTATTATTAAAATTTATGGGGGATAACAGACTAATGTCATATGTCACCCTTATTTATTATTTGGTGCTACATGTGTTTCATGTCACAGTACTAGCACTGTCAAAAATCGAACCAAACTGGTGAAACCGAACCGTTTCAACCGATCCGAATGAGAACCGAACCGATTAAAAACCGATTTTATGAAACCGAAAACCGACCCAAACCGCATGTTAGTAAAACCGAAACCGAACCGATCCGAGTAAACGTTAAACCGTTTAAGAACCGAATCAAATCTTAACCGAACCGTTTCTAACCCGAAACCGTTTAAACTGGCATAAAAACCGTTTACACCGAACCGTTAGCAAACTGCAACCCGTTTGCACCGAACCGTTTATAAACCGAACTGATTATAAACCAAAACGCTTATAAACCGAACCATTTATGAACCGAATCACTTATAATTCGAACCGCTTACAAACCACTTCCTACTAGGAGTATTTTGAACGACTCGATAAAAATCCGATTTTTTTAAATCAAAAACAGATCCGAACCGTAATTTAGTAAACCTAAAATAAAACTGATCCAAATAATGTTAAATCGTAGAAGAACCAAACTCGTTAACAAACCGAACCAGTTATAAATCGAACTAAAATAAAACTGAACTAAAAAAGAACCGAACCGTTTCTAACCGGGATAAAAACCATTAACAAACCGCAACCCGTCTGCACCGAACCGTTTACTACCCGGACCGTTTACAACCCGAACCGAATTTAAACCGGGATAAAAACCGTTTACACCGAACTGTTAACAAACCGCAACCCGTTTGCACCGAACCGTTTACTACCCGAACCGAATTTAAACCGTTCAAGAATAAACCGAAACCGAATCGAACCGATAATTATTTAAACCGAACTGAAACCGACCCGTAAGACATTTAAACCGATTTCAAACCGACCCGATTTCAAACCAAACCGAAACCGAACTGTCAAACCGTTTTGACAGTACTACACAGTACCATATGTGTATCACTCTTCCCTCACTACATTGAATTGCAATAATGTACTTATGTGTAGTTAATTTGAAAATTCTTTATTGGTGTGTCTTTAATTCTCTATAATAATGTTTATTTTACTTGAAAAATTATTCATATGTATTAACCTCTACATTATATTTTTCACTCATTAATATTGTTCAACATTAACCATTTTAATTTATTTTGATCAAACATATTAATTTATAGGAAAATGTTATACATAGCCCTTAGGGCTATATATAAGCATTAAAAAGACTCTTGAAAATTGTTAAATATAGAAAATCATGACAAAAACACATTAATTACACTAATGAACGCATGTTTTTGTCATGAATTCCTAATTTTATACTACGTATAATTTTCAAGGTTGTTTTTAATGCTTATATATATAATTAACCCTAAGGGTTATGTATAGCATTACCCAAATTTATAATGTACCGGGAAATTGCTCGGGCCAATAACTAGTTTGGTATAAAACGTGAGTAAAAAATGTCTAATAATTACAAATAATTTGAAATAGTGGTTGCAGTATTACATCAAATCAGACAAATTTGATGACCTTTTATATTTTTTGTTTATCATTCTTTTTTAAGTTTGGATTAAATAAAGGAATCATACATGTACAATTTTAATTTTATTTATTATTATTTTATTTTTCATTTCCTTCTTAAAAAAAAATAAAAAAAATAAAAAAACCTTTTTTCATTATCTAATTACAAAGCTCCACATTATCAATGTTTTAAGTAAATTTTATTATTGTTTTTTAAAGAACAATTATACTGTAATAAGGATAATAAGTGTAACTCAAGTTTAATTTATTTAACTCGGCAATATAATCTAGTATGCATTATTTTAATGAACATTGGTATCACGTTTACAGTTTTCTACAAAAATAACATAAACGTTTCCATGTGTAATTTTAAATTAAAAGTCCACATCCAACTAGCCTCCTCACTCAAACTATAATTTAAAATCATCTTAATTAATCTAATAATCATGGTACAATATTGATTAATGAAATTTTGGTGTATGATATGGCAAGTTGATGAAGCGCTCTGATGTTATGCCTCACATCACCTTTTTTTTCTCCATTATTATTATTTTTCCAAAATAAGTGGAGCACTAGTGAGTAGTGAGCACCTATATGAAAACAACTTTTCCTTTAACAAAAAGATAAAATAATTTTTTTGTTTGTTTTCCGATATTGTCAAGGTCAATTCGGCTAAATTAAAGGTTATGCGTGCTCTTGTTCAAAATTATGAAAATTTTCATATATATTCGGCTGTAAGGTGCAATTAAAGGTATTTTTATTCATTTAATATTATTTTTTGCTCATTTTTTAGATTTTGAAATGACCAAAAAAAAATATTAAAGAAGCAAAAAACTATCATGGGTGCACTTACTTGTTTATCAGTGTATGCAACTATGCACCCGGGTGATGTAAATGTGTAATATAAGATTTTGTGAAGGTTGTGTTTTGAGAGTAATTACACTTATATTATTAAGTTATTTACAACATTTAAAAGAATTTGGAAAATAAGTTTCTTTCTCTTTGTGTTAAATAAAAGAATTTGGTCCCCTTCAAAAAAAAAAAAAAAAAAAAAAAAGAATTTGGAAAAAATTATTCTAATGTAAAAGGCAAGAAAAGAAAATTACCGGCTTGTCATGAATTCCTAGTTGAGCCCAAGTGATGACTTCTAGTAATTCTTCCAAAGTTCCATAACCTCCTGCATTCATCGAGAGTGACCAACTTTACCCGTGAGCAAATTAGTAGATTGATTAAGGTAACCCCACATTCCCACTCACTAAAGATGGCTACAATCTATGAATATATATTTAAAATTAATTAACATTTAGATAGTATTTTCTCATGAATTTTATAATTATTCTACATATCTTGTTTTTTCTTAGGCCCACAACCAATTAACTATACTTGCTTTCATAATAGCATCATTTTTTCTAATCAAAGATTAATAATATTCTTAATAATTTTTGGTAGGTGAGAAGAAATATTTAACTGATTCGAAAAACTATCTTATATTAATCTAAATCGAGTTAGAAGACTATACAATTAGCAATAGATCACAAAGTAACTCCTCCCCTAAGCTTATGCTTTCAACCAAACAACAAATATTTTTGAAAAAGTGGAGGAAAAAAGTAAGGAGATCTGCACCCTAAAATTGCCCTTAATAAGAATTGCACCCTCCTACAAAGTTATTTCCTTACAAATAGATTAACACTCGATTTGCAACTCTACTTTAACCCTAATTGAAATTCCATAGTTAAAGCAAATTATTTGATATTTTACTCTTACATTATTATCCCAAATTTTCAAAAATTGATGATAGCACATGAGTGATTATAGCTAATAAAGCATACTAAATATTAAAGTATATATTGAACATTTTTTTTTAACATGCAAAAGTGGTGCTTGTTTGAACATAACGTTACCTGGTAAAGCAATGAAAGCGTCAGCTTGGCGAGCCATTTCTGCTTTTCTCTGATGCATACCGGACACAGGTCTCACTTCCCCTACCGTTTCACCAGTAATCTAAAACGTACCAAAGCAACTTTAATTATTCCATTCATTATTATAATACTCAAATCTTACAATTCTACAATCCCAAAATACACAATCAATCCAATTCTAAGTAAAATCTTTGCATTAGTTAGAACTAGATTAAACCGCATACAATGCAAAGTTGTTAAATTGTTATAATGAAAATAAATTTCACCAAAAAAATTGATGTAAAATATTAAGAATAGATTCCATATTAAAATGTAGGGAGTATGAAATATACTTGAAAGAAAATAATTTAATATGTAATAGTTATAATAGCCAATTTGATATTTAAAAAAGTTTATTTTAGATTTGTACAAAATTTGAAAAACTTTTGTATACATCCGGTTTACACTAATATTAGTGTACATCGAGCAGGTATCCTAACTTTTAGCTAATAAATTTTATGGTAACTTTTTGCCTTTTTTTTGGATAACTTTAAACGTAATACAATTTTTATTTATAAAGACAACAAGAAAAGCCTTATAAAGGTAATTAATTACATTTAATCACTAATAATTGATTTTTAGTTATTTAAAATGCGATTCTTTACAATAAAGCGTAGATAATTTTTATTTATATTGGGTTACTTTTATGCATATTGGAGTAACTTTTATTAATTTCAGGGAAAACTTTAATAACTTTAGATTTTCTTTATAATGGATGTACAATAATTATTGTAAACCCAATTTTTTAAAAAGTTTGTGAAGTTAAAATTAAGATACATATAAGGATTTTTAGTAAGACCTTTTGGAGGGAAAACTTGTTTATATTTTAATACCAAGTGTCCCTTTAAATTTCGTCTCTAATATAATGTAATTGATTGCAATGAGAGGTTATTTTCCTACAATGCAACTTGTTAGGATAAAATCTTACCAAAGAATTTTTCCATGCACTTTATGGTAACTTTTTCTTGTAAACAATGGCACTTATAACTTAGATATGTAGATATAAAGACCATATACTACGTGTGAACAATCTTTTTTAACGAAAGGTGCCCTTTGCATTGTCCTATTCAATAAGTGAACCAAACATCATGTTACACATTTTGTGGTCTTATTTTGGTTTATTAAAGAATATGAAAGTTATTTGAAGTAAGCCAAATAAATTAATCACTAAATTTTACCCAAAAATCACTAATAACCTTAGAATAAACAAAAGCAAAGGCTAGATCTTAATACACACATATACATATGTCACACACACAAAAATAACAATAAAAAATTACTTAAGAGTTTTTTAAGTTTTTGTTTTTCAACACTCTAGACAAATGTTGAACAGAAAAGTATGACTTCTATTTTATCAGATGCAACTTTATTGTTGGGGTGTGAATTGGGACAAGCTTAGCTTTCGAACTCTATGTCACACATATGAAATTTTTAAGTTATAATTTACAAAATTTTGTAAATGGAGTTATCTTACCTCATTATTTTAACGTTAATGTCCTTGTTTTAGCATGTGTTTAGGTTAACTATCGCACAAAAATAACTTTTTATGGGATAAAATATGAGAATTTATGAATCATGACATATAACATATACATTGTTAAGAAAATGTTGTTGTTGACCCACATAAGAATTTTTCTGTAGTAAGTCAATAAGATCTTGCTTACTATTATTATTGTATTTTTTTTTTTTTTTTGGAGAGAATATTTCAGAATATGTATTGTTATATTATTCAATCCAATTTGTTTCATCAATGAAAAATTATCTATCTATAAACTTATATTAAAAGAAAAAATTTTCCATGACACTTGTCACTACCTTGTGAAAAAATTTCTCTTTTTCTCTCTTTTTTTTTTTAACAAAATTTTTAAGTAAACTATTTATACGTTATTTTCTTTCGAGTTTGACAATCAAATTTCATATATACCCAATTGAAATATTTTTAAGTATCTCCTATATACTTTATATATGCAATATTGTTGTCAAAAATATTTAATAAAACGTGCATTGCACGGCACTTTAACCTAGTTTATTCTCTAAATTCTTTCAAAAAAGTTTAGTTAGTACAATTTATTTCACAGCAATAGGAAAAAAATTATATAAAAAACAAAGATAAAAAAATATTTATAAAAGGTTTGAAACCAAAGCGTTGAAGTTGGCTTTCACCTCTTTAGGCATAAGGGTCTTCGGGATTACTCTGCATATAAAAAAAAAAAAAAAAAAAACGAGATAATTAATGGCTCATTTTTTTATTTACGTTGGACTTGGTAAACATGCAAGAATATAAAATGAAAAAAATGAAAGTGTGTTATCAATGGCATTGAGGGCAACGTAAATCTAATTTAATTTTTGAGTTAGGGTTATTTGTACGCTAATGATTTCTAATAGTTAATAACTTTGTTACAGTAACCCTCATTTTCTTTAATATTAGAAAGATCAGCTCAATCAATCGTTGAATTATACTAACTACTACTTCATACTATAATTCATTTAGTAAACATCATTGATGATTATATATTTTTTTTATACCTAAAATGACGTATTTAACTAATAAGTTAGAATACAACAAACGAATCTCTCGCAATGAAATAAAGGAATAAACCTAAATAAACATACTTCATGTCTAGTACGGAATAAACAATATATATATTATACTTGTAGAAGTATACAATTTACTTTGTCACTTGAAATTTCATGAATATCATACTTATTGCATTAGCTTTTTATTGTTGCCTGAAGTAAATAGTATACTTCACTACTTACCCTAAGACATGACGTCCTCCATTATACACAGCTTTAGAAACCATTCCCATTAAGCCAATGCTTCCTCCTCCGTAAACCAAGTCAATCTTGTTTTCAACCTACACAACACATGTAATTAAATCAAGTTTAAAAACTATAGATATATTTCATTTATATTTTTACCCCAAACAAAACAACGAGCCGCTGACCTTTTGGTACATAAACATGTTGATGTACTTACTAAATTGTACATTATTAGCATATGTCAATGTGTAGCTGTAATTAATATCATTGTGTAATCATTCCCTAGGAACTCTGTATATATACTCCTATATTCCTACATACATGCATAGACCATGGTACACCAACGTGCCCCTCGAGCCCTTTTGTGCTTTTAAACATATTCATATCGATTCAGACTATTTTCATATCATGTTTAACTTGCTCTCATTTTAGCCCGGTCCTTGCTTAATAACTTTGTGTCACTTTAGGAAACACACCGTAGTGTATTTTCCCTACATTTTTTCCTCTAATTATTTTCCTCTAATTAGTGACGTAATCTTATTATAAGCTTACCCAATTTTTTAAAAACAAGTTTTACACACTCATATATTCTGCCACATGGCTTCTTTTTGCCCCCTTAAGGCCTTAATCACAAATATCAATTAATAGCAATTTGCTCTGGTACGTGACAAAATCATTGCTCCAAGAATAGAGTCTCTATTTTTTTCAAAATGGCAAAACTATAATTTCAATCTAATAGTATATCTAAATATCTAATAGTCACATATATATGTTTAGTCGCTATTTATATGACTAACCATTAATTCTGAACGGAATGATGAGTATTAAAATCCAGGACACCACCAATTAACTTATTACATATTATTCCAAGATTTTACCAACATAAAATAGTTTAAAATAACGTATACAAAAATGTGTATGGTCATAATAATAATAAAATTAAGACATCAATGACTCGAGGAAATGAAAAGAAACATACCAATTGGTTAGCAAGCTGAAGAGCAGCAACCTGATAGCTAGGACTCTTTCCAGGACTACTACCACAAAAAACACAAATTCGCTTAAATTTCGACGAACCCGAAAACCTCTTCAACATTTGATTGTTTTCCATTGCTAGAAAAGCTCCTACTACGGTCTAACAGTTCTTTTGCTGAATTTGGTTAAGTTATATTTTGGTAACAAGTTTATGTGATATGATGAATAAGGCACAAATGGGTTGAATATTTGGCAAAATATGGTTTGGTAATAAAAAGATAAGAAGTGGGGTAATATTTTGGGTGTTAGTGCTTGTTGGTAAGAAGTGTGAGTCGTGCGAGGAAGCACGGGCCGTGCGCTAGCAAAACAAAAGGTTAAGCAATTGAGGAAAAGAGAGGAGGATAACTGATGTTAATTTTTTTTTTGGTCCCCTCGTATGTCTTTTTATATCACATAAAAACATTGGTCATTTTAAACGCGTCTCTAAGGTTATCATCTCGTGGAGTTTTTTTGGTAAAGTATATTATATAAATATATGTAAAAAAAATTAAATAAAATAAATTATATTATAAAGTATTATTGTTGTTGATATTCAAACATACGTGAGATTTATATAATTTAGTGATTTTAGTGAGATGGTACAATGTGAAGGAACTTTCTTTTAGTAAGAGGGGTAGGAGTGTAGGACCCTTTTGAGAAAGAGAGGTGATGATGTAGTTGAGGGAAATGAAGAAGACCGACTGACCGAGTTGAGAGCTTGAGACGGTGCGTGCATCTTATTTGTTGATTTTTTAAAAAAAAAAAATAAAAAAAATAATTAAGTTTAACAAAAAAGTTCATGTGAATGGAATGTTTACACCATCGTGTAAGTAAGCTGAAGTAAAACATAAGTATGAGAAAAATATATATGAATTGTGTGAAAACAATTATATCTCTAAAATAATAATAATTTTTAAAAAATATGAGAAAATACATATGAATTGTGTGAGACTAATTATATATATACCCTAATGATATGATGTTAATGCATTTAAGCTTATTATCGTGTGATTTATTGATTTAACCTACTCCGAATAATGTATGTTTGGACAGTTATATAATACCCTCATTAATGTTAATTACCTTTTCTTAGAACTCTTAAGAATAGTGCTTGGTGTTAATTGAAACGAACACTACAAGGGGGAGGGGGGGGGATTGTAGCGAGTTCCTATTGCTACTTTTTGCGGAATATAAATAAACTATAAAGGAACTTGCAATGCACACAGATTTTTATGAATAAACCTTCCAAGGCCTAATTGGAAGTAAAACCTCGACCCTTCTAAGGGATTTCCAAAACCAAATCACTTCACTATAATAGAGCAATACCAAATTACAACTTATTATAAACAAACCTTTACTCACAAGTTCCACACTGAACTTGCTACACAGTAGGACCCTATCCTACCCAATCTAAGTCCCACACTTAGATTCACTCATACTCCCTAAGTACTATCTCTCAGCTTCAAACTAGAAGCTTACACACTATATGAAAAGTATACTTCACACACTCACCCAATAACCCCAACCAATACAAAATATACGACACTAGTATATGATAGGCAAGCTACGTATGAAACCTAAAACTAATATGAAAAAATTAAAGCTTGGCAAACTTACACAATTAAAGCACAAATGATTTCTTCATGCATAAAACTCATGGAAAACTATGAAATGAGATGACTACTATTAATACAAGACTAGCTCATATAGTAAATAGGGTTTTCAAAAAGATAATTATATTAATTTAACTAAATCTCAAAACACGGTTTAAAGAAAATCTTTTGGAAAACTAGATAAAGACAGATTTATCAAATAGAACAATATCTTTTGATAATCAGTTTTAAGAAATAAATCTTTTAGAAAAATATTTTCTTAAAAACCTATCTTTTTAAATTTTCCGATTTAAATTATTTTTGCTAAGCATCTTTGTCACGTTTCTAATAAGATTCACGCGTAATCTACTTAACATATTTACAACAAATGTAGAAGATATAGAATCTTAACTAAATTAAGTTGATGTGCCGTTATTCTGTAATTGTAGATTACTTGAGCTTTACGTAGACCAAAACTAAGTTCCTGCTGTCACTTGTACTCCAGTACCAAACTGAAACTTTGTAGGCCAAGTTCCTACAGAACTTGTTGTCTTCAACGCAGATCAAGTTAACTCCTTAACTTGTTGTCTTCAAGTTCCTGTTAGGGAACTTAGATAGTTCATGTTAGAGAACTAAGTTCCTGTTAGGGAACTCTTCTTTTATCTTGTTTAACTTTTCAAGGTATCTCTTCATGCTTTCATAGATAAGGTTACTCTTCCACCAACAAGGTCCACTTCACCTGCTCTAATCATACACTTAAGAAACCTTTATTAGTCCAGTTTGCTTGAGTTTAAGTCCATCATCATCAAAACCTCAACAATTCCCCCCTTTTTGATGATGACAATCTTAAGCAAACTCTTTAGAAAAGTTAAATAAAATAAAAGGTCGTATTTTTGCATTTTTTATTTATTGACTTAACATAAACACACAACAAAAATTAAACACAAATTATAAACAATTATATGAAAATCAAAATAAACAGAACACAAAACTAAACTAAACTACTGGCATCATATCAGAAGAAATTTCTAATACTTTCTCAACTAGAACCCAGAACAACTTCAACCTCCGAGTTTGCTTCTTCTTTTCCCCCTTTTGGCATTATCAAAAAGTCCTGACTTTTCAAGTTTATTAAGCATATAGCCAGAGCCCCACAAGAAATTCATCGAGTGTGGAAAACTAAAGGCAGCGCTGCTAACTTCCCTTAAGTTAGTTCCACTTTCTAGCATAGGTGTTCATAGCATACAAATACACATATGTATAGGTAGAGTTCCAAAACATTCATTTAAAACCAAAAGATTAACATCCTGCTGAGCAAAATAAAGATATTACAAACCAAAATATATTGTTCAAAAACTGAAATTGAAATTGTTCATGACTAAAAACAGGAATGAGATAGGCTAGGCTATTTAGGCCAGGTAGACTAGGTTTAAAATAAGTTAGGCTAAGTCTGAAGAAGTTCAATAATCTTCTTGTTGTCTTCTTGTGTTTGAAGCACATTTGCCTCCAGCTTTTCTTCAAGGCTCCTAATAGCCTTAAGGAACTCCATCCTATGCAGCTTGAGACTGTTTTTTAGTCCCTGCACTTTCCTCTCCAGCTTCTGCATTTGCCATGTGACTACCTTGAGCTGCTTCTCTGATATCTCAGCTCTGTTAGTGAGCTTAACCACTTGTCCTACCATCACATTCTCCTCATCATCATCAAGTTCCAAAGGTTTCTCCATACTCGTTTTAGGAATTGTGCTTGATGACATCCTCCTGCTCTTCCTAATAGGTTTCTCTGGAACCTCTCTCCCTTTTCTCATCCCACCAGCTATCTTTTTCTCTTCCACTCTTCTGATCTTCCCACTCACTACTTCCAAACTTATTCCTAGTAGTGTCTCTTCATTTATAACACTCTCAGGCTTCTCCTCCAATCCACCATAAATTCCTTTGAGCTTCACCCCGAGTGACTCAAACACAGTTGAAAGCACAGCCCCATAGCCCACTTTATTCTTTCCAGGAACACATCGTGCTAGATGTTGGTACATTAGTGAAGGAAAATTTACCCTAATTTTCTTAGAAAGATAGAAAATGAAAGCCATATCCATCAAGCATGCCTCACTCTTTTCCTGAGTTCTAGGCAATATTGTTTTCTCACCAAGTTAAACTACAACTTATTTAAAGGGCTTAGATCATTATGACTCACAGTGTTCTTCCCCCTTTTTCCAACCAGAATTTCAACAATATCACCTCCTAAATAATCACCTACCTTCACAGTCGATTTTCCCTTAATGTATATCTCAAACCCTTTAGTAGGAACTTTCAGAATCGTTCCTAATTTCTTAACATCAAACTCAATAATCTTTTTGTTGACTACACTAGAAATTTTCCCTTGTTTTACTGAAAATTTGCTACAAAATTCATTCATGGCAGAAGGATATAGAATTTTTTTAGATGCACTATTCAACAAATACTCCCATCCCTGAAACTTAATTAAATCGAGAAATTCCAAAAACCTAGCTTGTTTGCACCAAGACAAATCAAGTCTATGACCAACCACATACCTATCGACACTTGCAGTAACTTCCGATTGTTCATCGTCCTCCTCTTCATCTTCACCCTTGTCTTCTTTCTCTCCCTCTTCTCTCTCCTCTGCACCGTCCTCTTCATTGTCATCTTCGTTTTGAACCCCTTGCACGAAATCCTCAACTTCCTGAATATGATCTTCAAGATTTTTTTCTTTTTCTTTCTTCTCTTTCCACTCTCAAACAACCAGTGGCTCCTTCCTTTTCGTTCTTACTCTCTTCCTCTTTTGAATTAGAAGGTGAGGGTTTTGGGCTTTTAGTGGTTTTGGACTTGTTGGGAGAGGAATTGTAATTCACCATTGCTAGAGGTGAAGTTTCTTCTTGAATTGTTTTTTTTAGGGATAAGGATTTTCGGATGAACTGAGTTCAGTGATGATGGCCATGCTTTTTAGAAGATGGTAGTTTTAGATGTTGATGGTTTTTACTGAAGAGGTTAATTTGATTTGACATTGGAGTGAAAAGGTGGGTGAAAGATTCCTTTTATAATTATTAAAGTGGTGTGATAGAAATAAGGGGTTTACTGTTCAGTCATTTAATTAAACAAGTTCAATTAATTTTTACAAAACAATTTAAACAGGAAGCATTTACTAAAAATCCTTTTCTTTCCAAATCCATTTAATTTCTAAAAAGAAATTATTTTCTGAAAATACGCGTATTTGGAACACGCTTTATTACTAATTATATATACATTTAATTGTTTAGTGAACTAACCTCTAGTAATTAACAACGGTGACACTTCAGCTATATATGTTTAGCACACCATAATTGTGCTAGATGCTCTTTTTGCTCTATTTACATTGTTTTTTACTTGCCATATCTTAGAACTTCAGAAGCAATCAATTAAGCTTGATCATCCCAAGTTCCAGTCTTAATTTCTCAAATCTTTATTTGTTTAAGGGCTTGGTTAGAATATCTGCAATTTGATTTTCAGTTTGACAAAACTCTAACTTAATATTCCCTTGTTCCACATTATCTTTTAGAAAGTGATGCCTATGTGGATAGGTTTTACCTTTGAGTGTTGAACTGAATCCTTTGAAATACTAATAGCACTGGTATTATCACATTAAAAGGAACACATTCAAATATAATTCCAAAGTCTCTAACATGTTGCTTTATCCATATGATTTGTGAACAACATGTTGTTGTTGCCACATATTCAGCTTCAGCTGTAGATAATGCAACTGTGTTTTGCTTCTTGGATCCCCAAGAAACTAAATAAATTCCTAAAAACTGTACCTGTAGACACCCAAATGTGTCTCCCCAAAACCAAACCCAGTGATGAATATTTTTCATGTCATTTGATTATCGAACAAAGCGAAAGT